AGTGCTTGGGGGGGGGGACAGCAACAGCAGGGGGTCTTTATCCATGCAGAAAGGCTGAGGGACTTGGGAATGTTCAGTCTGGAGAAGGGGAGGTGGAGGGGGGACAGGATTGGCCTCTTGAAGGATTTGAAGGGCTGTCACTTGGAGGAGGGCAGGGAGCCGTTCCTGTTGGCAGCAGAGGAGAGGACCCACAAGAATGGGCTTTGTCAGGGTCCACAGCCGACAACTGAGTACCCGCTTGTCAGAAAGGTTATACTTTATTGCAGAGCTATACATGCAGTAGGAGCTGCTGTGGCTCAAGTGGTTAAGACGCTGAACTGCAGGCTGTGGAAGGTCAGTAGTTCAGCAGTTCGAGACCCGAGTGTGCCGCATGACGGAGTGAGCTCCCGTCTCTCGTTCCAGCTCCTGCCAACCTAGCCGTTCGAAAGCAAGAAATTGAAAGTAGATAAATAGGGACCACTTCGGTGGGCAGGTCACAGCGTTCTGTGCGCCTTGGTGTCTAGTCATGCCGGCCTCATGACCACGGAAACGTCTTCCGACAGCGCTGGCTCTTCGGCTTTGAAACGGAGATGAGCACTGCAACCCTAGAGTCGGACTCGACTGGCTTTCGAGCAAGGGAACCTTTACCTTTATAGGTGCAGTAACATGGTAACTGTTAAGAATGGCGACGTTTCTACAAGCACAATGGGATATAGGGTATTCGTACGCACCCCTCCCCGCATCCATAGGCCAATTGGCCTGACTCCCGCCTGCGGGAGAAGGGGTCCCAGGCCGTTAGAGCCGAAGCTGGGAATGGGAAAGCTATCCGCAGACACCACACAGGCAATCTACAAGGTCAGTGATAATGAAGCATTACAGAAGCAAAGAAGGAATGCAGCAGGGGCTGGTACACAGGTCAAGCAAATGAACCCCAGCCCATAAACATCATGGCAGTGTAGCTGACAGGCTTAAATTAAGGGTGGAAAGGTACCAGCTGGATCTTAGGAAGAATTTTTCTACCTTTAGAGTTGTGCCACAGTGGAATCAGCTGCCCCGGGGAGGTGGTGAGCTCCCCCTCTCTGCCAGTCTTTAAGCAGCGGTTGGACA